GACCTTGACAACCCTATGAGGCCCCGAACTTTGTGTGTCTTGTTTGTTGTGTATGGAAGGTCATCATCCACCCATCCACTATTGAGATATCTTATACACTAACCTCTATAATGACCTCTGACCTCTCTAGTTCATGAAGCTCCTTACAAAACGGACAAAAACAAAAAATTTTGATTCCTATAGACTCCTTTTACTACGGAGCGGGGAGTAAAAATGTGACATGTTGTAACCAGACATGACAAAGAGGTGTCAGGTATGTGCTAAGGTCAAAGGAGAGAGATGTGTGTGTGTTTGACCTTGACTCAAACGAGGTGACGCGTAGCACAATCCTATCTGGGCCGCCAAGCTGTACCTCAGGGACTTGGAGGCGGAGGAGAGGCTGTCAATGGAGAATTGTAGAGAACTGAGCAGAAGGGAGGAGAGGAGGAAGCGAAGGAGAGATAGACAGATTAAAAAAATACCGAGACAGAGAGAGACAACAGACAAAACAGCTGTGTACACTCAAAGATAAACACTGACATAAAAGCTAAAACATGGACAAGTTGAGAGACAGACAAACAAACACATGAAAAAAAAACAGAAAAAAATATATAGAAAAGAAAGAAGATAGGGGGGGGGTAAAAATAACATGCAAAAACGATGAAAAAACTTCACCCACAAAAAAATACAAATAAAGCGTATATAATTATCACAGAGACAACACAACAAGACCCACCCCCCCCCCACTACTACTCCCACCATCACCACGGTCCCACAAAGAGGAGAATAACATTAAGAAATGCAAAAGAGACAGCCAGCATGGAGCACGAGTCGCCTGGGGTGCCTCCGAAAATCCACACAGGAGTTGAGGGCTTTGATGAATGAAACTGTGAAGGAACCACACAAGAAGGAAGTTGAAATTGAATGCTGGGGGAAAGAAAGTTGTGCTGGGGGAGGAATAGGAGGAGGGGTAGGGGGAGAGGAGGAGAGTTTTGTTGCGGTGGGGAAGGATGAGGAGAGAGTGGTGCTGGGATGGTGGATGGGGGAGAGAGGAGGGATGGTGGGTGGGGGAGTGATGCTGGGATGGTGGGTGGGGGAGAGAGGGGTGCTGGGATGGTGGGTGGGGAGAGAGTGATGCTGGGATGGTGGGTGGGGGAGAGGGGGTGCTGGGATGGTGGGTGGGGGAGAGAGTGATGCTGGGATGGTGGGTGGGGGAGAGTGGGCTGGGATGGTGGGTGGGGGAGGGGTGCTGGGATGGTGGGTGGGGAGAGAGTGATGCTGGGATGGTGGGTGGGGGAGAGAGGGGTGCTGGGATGGTGGGTGGGGGAGAGAGTGATGCTGGGATGGTGGGTGGGGGGAGAGTGGTGCTGGGATGGTGGGTGGGGGAGAGAGTGGTGCTGGGATGGTGGGTGGGGGAGAGGTGGTGCTGGGATGGTGGGTGGGGGAGAGGTGGTGCTGGGATGGTGGATGGGGGAGAGGGGGTGCTGGGATGGTGGGTGGGGGAGAGAGTGATGCTGGGATGGTGGGTGGGGGAGAGAGGGGGTGCTGGGATGGTGGGTGGGGGAGAGAGTGGTGCTGGGATGGTGGGTGGGGGAGAGGTGGGGATGGTGGGTGGGGAGAGTGGTGCTGGGATGGTGGGTGGGGGAGAGAGGGTGTGGGATGGTGGGTGGGGGGAGGGTGCTGGGATGGTGGGTGGGGGGAGAGGGTGTGGGATGGTGGGTGGGGGAGAGAGTGAGATGGGATGGTGGGTGGGGGAGAGAGTGATGCTGGGATGGTGGGTGGGGGAGAGTGGTGCTGGGATGGTGGGTGGGGGAGAGAGGGGTGCTGGGATGGTGGGTGGGGGAGAGAGTGGTGCTGGGATGGTGGGTGGGGAAAGTTGTACTGCGTAAGGAGAGTAGTGGTGCTTGGGCAAGAGGGTGGAAGGAAAGGAAAATAGATTGCCTGAGACTTTCCTCCCGGCTACTTTGGATAACTTTGGTGTGAGTGGTCGGCTGCTTTCAAAGTCTGCAGTCGGGAGGTCGGGTTGGACGCCTGTAGGTAGGTAGCTCAGTGGTCGAGTTTTCTGAAACGTCTGCAATCGAGTTTTCTGAACGTCTGCAGTCAGTGGCCGGGTGTTCTGAACGTCAGTGGTCGGGTGTTTTGAACGTCTGCCGTCAGTGGTCGGGTGTTTTGAACGTCTGCAATCAGTGGTCGGGTGTTTTAACGTCTGCAGGTGTCTGACTCTGGTCGGTTTCTGCGTCGTGGTCGGGTGTTTTGAACGTCTGCAGTGGCGGGTGTTTGAACGTCTGCAGTCAGTGGCCGGGTGTTCTGAACGTCGTGGTCGGGTGTTTTGAACGTCTGCAGTCAGTGATCGGGTGTTTGAACGTCTGCAATCAGTGGTCGGGTGTTTTAACGTCTGCACGTTGGTCGGGTGTGTGGCGTCTGTGGGTGTTTTGAACGTCTACAGTCAGTGGGCGGGTGTTTTGAACGTCTGCAATCGGGCTTTCTGAACGTCTGCAGTCAGTGGCCGGGTGTTCTGAACGTCTGCAGTCAGTGGCCGGGTGTTCTGAACGTCAGTGGTCGGGTGTTTTGAACGTCTGCAGTCAGTGGTCGGGTGTTTTGAACGTCTGCAATCAGTGGTCGGGTGTTCTGAACGTCTGCAGCCGGTGGTATGTTGAAACACCTTCAGTCATTGGTCGATATCTTGAAAAATTTGCAGCTATTGGTTTGCCTACTTTGAGACACTTGCAATCATTGGTCGATATCTTGACACATTTGCAATCATTGGTCGAGATCTTGAAAAACCTGCAGCCACTGGTCGCCTGCTTTGAGACACGTACAGTCATTGGTCGCTTGCTTTGCGACGCATACAATCATTGGTCGCCTGCTTTGAAACGTTTGCAATCATTGGTCGTCTGCTTTAAGACACTTGCAATCATTGGTCGATATCTTGAAATACCTGCAGACATTGGTCTCCTGCTTTGAGACGTTTACAGTGATTGGTCGCCTATTTTTGAGACACCACCAAATAGTATCCTTTTTAGGCACCTTAACACCGACCATAAATTAAAATAAAAATAAAATAAACAAAAGACAAAAATCAAAACAACCAAACAACAAACTCCTTTAAAAACAAAATGGTGTCTGGTAATAATAAAAAAAATCAAATTATTTTTCAGTATGTTGGAGATATACACGACACAAAATACAGCCATAAATATGTATAATGGCGGTGCTGTGTCACGCTAAATGGTGTATGGGAGCCATTACGGTGTATTTTACGAATATAGTGCATACAATTTTCAAGTACAGGTGTTTTATCTGAAGGTGGGAGATTGATGGCAGTAGGTCGGTTAATTAATACCCGAGAAGTGGACATTCAATACCGGTTATACGGATATTTGAGGGATGTAATGGTAATAATGGCGGATAATTCGGTTTTGTACGGAAGTAATGGTAAGATAATTCGGTTAAGTGGGGAAGTAATGGTAGTAATGGCGGATAATTCGGTTTAGGGAAGTAATGGTAGTAATGACGGATAATTCGGTTTTGTAAGAAAGTAATGGTAGTAATGACGGATAATTCGGTTTTGTACGGAAGTAATGGTAGGATAATTCGGTTAAGTAGGGAAGTAATGGTAGTAATGACGGATAATTCGGTTTTGTAGGAAGAAATGTTAGTGGTGGGGAAAATTATGGTTAATGGTTCTGTAATACTATTGGTTAATGGTTCTGTAATTCTCATAAATCTGGTTAATGGTTAAAGATTATGTTGATAATTATTCTTGTAAATGCGGATATAATTCGCCCATGTTAGTATAATAGTCATAATTATAATTACCTTTGGTGTAATAATGATAATTTTGATTAATAATTATTTTAATATCGACAAATGAGATTATGATTAAGTATTACTGATAATTCGTATACGATTAAATTATCCTCTTAAATATATCATTTTAATTAGTGATTATATTAAATTTAGTGAAATTATATTGTTATAGTGAAATTATATTAAGATTATAGTGAAATTATATTTAGTGTAAAGTGAAATTATATTAAGGCCATTGTGAAATTATATTAAATTATACCACGATAAAAAAAAAACAACAGTTATAGAAAATGGATATAATTCTAGTCGAAATATTACAAAATAGTCCTTTTTTTTCCCCACATGAGAATTTGTTGAGGGTCGTCCACGTCTTAAAACCAGGTAGACTATTGGCTTCTCTTGCTCCCGCGGTGTGGCTTCTTATAGCTTGTGTGTGTGTGTGTGTGTGTGTGTGTGTGTGTGTGTGTGCGTGTGCGTGTGTGTGCGTGTGTGTGTGTGTGTGCGTGTGTGTGTGTGTGTGTGTGTTTGGTTACATTATATTTCTTTGCTTTCATCATTTATTCTATTTTGTTTTACATATAACTCATTTTTTTTAATCAAATATATTTTTGTCTTGTTAACTCTTTTATGTCTGTATGTATGTTTACAAGTGATAAACCTGTCTGTCTGTCTCTATCTATCTATCTTTTTTTCTCTATCTCTGTTTATTGTTTATACGTCAGAGAAGCCAGTGTGAATGTGTACTGACCTGAATTTGCTGTAAAGGTCAGCCTATTCTCTGCTAAGGTTTCACTGAGAGTATTACGTCTCAAATGGTATTGCTAAACTATTTTCGAGCAAGTTGTGAAACACAGCCATCATGTAAGGTACCGGGGTGGGGTGGGGTGGGTCAGGGTGGGATGGGGTGGGCCGGGGTGGGGTGGGTCGGGGTTGGATGGGATGGGGTGGGTCGGGGTTGGATGGGATGGGGTGGGGTGGGTCAGGGTGGGATGGGGTGGGTCAGGGTGGGATGGGTCGGGAGTAACTGAGCACGTGATGATAACGGAGTGCGTGAGGTCACACCTGGTGGATGTTTGATCACTGGGTTTAAGAGATATAAGCACTAGTATAATGATGTACTGTATTATAACACTGTATGCACCCAACTTTCCGCTAATGTGTGTTAACGTGCTTTTGATCCAATGGTTAAATTTTGTCCTTTATCTTTCCAGATTGTGAAGCTGTAGCGCCAGGTGACAGACAAGGCTTGTGGCAGTCATGCGGGGTGTGCCAGTCTTCCCCTTGTGGGTGCTCTTAGCCCTCCTTGTTACCCTCAGCTTCTCGCGGGCTCAGGTGGGTCTGCGGACGGCGCCCCTCACTGCTCCAAGGGCGCGGGAAGTCTCTAGCAACGATGGCGGTGGCTTGGGTCTCTTTTCTAAGTGGTCAGCGATGGACCTGCACAAGAACCGCTCCAGCAGTATCGAGAGCTCCTTGGCGGCCATCTTCCGTGGTGTGGCCTATGGCCTGTCTACCATCCCTTCCTCGACCACTTCCACCACCACTACCACCACCACCCTGCCCCCCAAGCGCCACACTACTCCCTCCACAACACTATTCCTGGAATTCAGGGGCACTCTGAACCTGACTGGACTGACTTGGAGGGAATCTTGTTCGAGACGGCGTTTGAAGACCTTCCGGCAGAATATACCGACATGCTTCCCGACGCTATAGATGAGGTGGAGGTGGTGCGGGCGGGCACGGGCGTGGAGCTGAGCAAGGCGGCGTGGGTACGTGCACTGGGTGTGGCATGGGTGGTGCACGTGTACTGCGCCGCAGGGATGTACAGTTTGCTTGCAGTACTAGCACTCCTGTGGCTCTCAAGGGTGCACGCCGCCACACGTCTCCTGCCACGCGGGTACTACATCACACTACACCTGCTCATGTTCCTTGCTGCTTTCCTTCGCTGTGCCCACTTGTTTCATGATCCGTATGGGGCCGAGCACAAGCTGCCTGAGGCTCTAGCGGCTGTCGTGGAAGAGATCGGGTGGCCTTGTCTCACCGCGTCCATAGCTCTGGTGGTGATGGCCGTGGTGCAGGCGTGGCGCTGCCCCCCACACCTCCCTCCTCGGCAGCAAGCCCCCATCGCCCTCGCTGTCATTACAGTCTTCCATCTTATGGTGTCTATCTGTGCCCACCTGTTCTCAGTTGTGTTTCCGGAACACTCGGGTCCGCTGCGGGCCGCATCACGAACGGCAACAGCGGCATGGGGCGGTGTCATCGGTTTCGGAAGCTTTTTGGCTGTTTGTCGCGTCGCTCAAGCGACCCGACACCGCCATGGACACCTGACAGTGATGCTGAGCCGCGACTCGGTGAGGGACGGCACAACACCCCCGCGCTGCTCTTATACATGGTATTCATCTCTTTAATAGCAGCATTTGTCCAGGTAATCCTGGCGGCCCTACACCTATACGGACTCCTCGGTCCTCACTACGTCTCCCAGCTGCCGCCCGCCCACCCCTGGCACTGGCTGGCCTTCCAGAGCACCTGCTGCTTACTGGAGCTCTTGGCCTGGGTGCTATTGGCTCTTATTTCCTTGTTAACAGTGGGAGGTACCCCGGTAAAGCGCGAGTCCCGCAAAGAAGGAAGGCTGTTATCTGTGTTGTGGTGTGGGTGGTGCGGGAGCTGTGTCACCCAGGGGGCACCAGATAACGAGGTTTTTTCCAGTGCTTGCCAGACCAGCCAGGCTGTGAGGAGCTACACGTTGCAGAACAGTGCTAACACCGTCCCACATGAGGCGCTGAGCCACTCCCATTCACCACGACACGTAACAACCACGTCCCTCCACAAACCAGCTCCGTTTCGTCCCACAGCTCCCGACGTCCACTTGTTGTGGAGTCACAGCCGCACCCAAGACGCTTTCTCCTCAAGTTGCTCCTCCAGACCTTCCTCTATGGTGTTTAACGACACAAATCTCGGGAGGTTTAAGAGATCAATGAATCCTCAGAGTGGAATGTCTGAGGCTCCGCAAAGATCTCTCCAGAATTTGGAAGCCCAAATTGGGACAAAGAAATCAAGTTTGTCACAGAAGACAACCCAGCAAGATGCACCAGCCTATGATCAACACCTATACTACAGCGTGCCCAGAGCCAAGGTCAATTCTCCCGTTAAACCCATTACTTCTCCGGGTTCGGGGCTACGGGACAACCGTTTCGAGCATCACCTGCAAAACCACCCATGTGCTGACCTGGACAGCGCGGCGAGCGAAGCCGGTCAGTCAAGGAGCGATGTCGTGAGTATGACGGACAACAGTTCTACGGACGCGCTCTCCTCAGCAGTGGTGGGCGACAACGACTCCCAAATATACCAGCACCTGTTCCTCTATCAGCGCGGCCAACAGCTTCGACGTCCGTATGTGTGATGATTCTGATGTACCTTACTACCAGATTCCTTACACTGCCTCACCACACGTGAATCCGTCAGGGCATCAACAGTCCCCACCTCCTCATCTTCCCCATCACAGTGTCCTGCAGGGAGAATTCACGGGTGGCGTACACGGTTCTATATTACGGCAGGCTGACCAAGTAAGACCTTATCAAGCTTCCCGCACGTCTTCCCCCGCCTCCAGCCAACAGAATGAGCACCGTTCACGACCTACACACGACCTCCAGACTCGTGGATCCCACCCTGAGCTCGTTGCCCCTGCCAGTCCACCTCACTGTCATCAGCGTATTCCTGGGGATCCCAAGTGGGACTCTCCGGGCACACAGTGGCCTCCTCAGAGTATCCACAGGGGCCTCAAAAGTGCTCAGACGGACGCCCCAGTTCACTTGCAAAGCACCAGAAACACTGACGAATCATCCAAGATAGAAAGAAAATTGCCCGAGTTGTCACAGTCTGATAACCTTCCACAGCTTAATTCCAGACACCTCGTAAAGGTAGTTATGAGAGACTCCTCCCAAAGTAGCGCTGGCAACACTAACGTCGAGGATCTAGGCTTGTCTTCAGTGCCACAAAAGTGCCACCGAGCTCAGCAAACCCACCATCGTCGTCGGAGTGGCAGGGGTGAGAAGGTTCGTCCGTGTGGCCACCTTCCACGCACCAGGCAGGAGTCTCCTGGTGTAGGTGCCACAACACCAGCCGTCCAAGGCCAAGACAACCTCCAGAGTGACCAGCTGCACGATGGTCCACAAGATGAGGCGTCGTCAACAGCTGATGGTGCGACTCAGACCGACGTCAACACTGTATCATCAGCGTCGCCTTCTTCATCTCGTCCAGGGTCCTCCTTGGGGTCACATTCAGACCTCCCATCAGAAGGTGTCGACTCTGAGAACGAGGTCACTCATGGAATTCACGAATACCCCAAAAGTGAAGCGCGAGATTGGCAGACCCCGGGCTGCCCCCAAGAAGGCATGAATACCCTCGACCAGCACCCAGGCCAAGTTACAACCCCTGACACAAGTAGTGGTGAACAGTCAACAGTGTGTGTGTGTGTGTGTGTGTGTGTGTGTGTGCGTGTGACATACTTGTGCTCAGAGTGCGGGGATGGCTAATCCACACCCTTGTGATAATTTCCTTTTTAAATCCCTTTGCTACACCTTGCTTCTCTCTGTTCCACGTATACGTAAGAAAAATCCGACTGGTTGTTACTACACTCCATTGACATAATAGTAATACCATTATCTCGAGTTCATCTTAGTAATTTATACGAAATAATCCTATTAACCCTTCAATCTATTCCAATAACAGATACGGACCTAGATAATCCTGGAAGAGGCAAAGCCGTAGAAAAACAACAATAGCATTACCGTACAAAAGAAAAAAACACACAGTTTCATCTCCAAAGTGATCATGAGTGTAAATGTAATAACTCATAAATTTTAAATACGGGAATAAACAATACGAAAAGTGCATAAGAAAATATATAAAAAAATCAATTTTTTTTTTACATATAAAGAGATTAGTGCATTGACCGCGGTAGGTTGGGATTCCTCTCTATGTCTCACTTTACGTTTGTTCATAAAAAAAACAAGACGCGAATTCTTTATGTTAGATCTATAAGTCATATATTAAGTGTGATATATAAAGAGATGTTTTCAAGTTCCAAAATGAAGGGCCACATGTGATAATCATAGGTTGTATTAGGTGTGTGTTTGTGTGTCCGTCTGTGATGATGTTCTTACAGATGGAAAAGTATCTTGAGTTATATATTAAGCAGATGTATGAATATAATAATGATAACAATAATAATAACTGCGCTTCAACTATAAGAGCTGACTTGAGTGATTAAAACAAAGTGTGTAGTTTAAATACCACACATGACCGAGAATATATTAAAACTAACCTTAAACCCTCTACCATAAAGAGAAGGTTTAAGTAACACACTATAGACGATATATATAAAATAGACTTAAACCATTTCTCACGACCTAAAACAATTTATTATAAGCAAAACCCACATGAGACTTAAAACAGACATCTTAAAATTAGACATATCACAATTAAGTCATAATACAGACTTTCACACAAGATATAAAATATAGATTCATATACGAAAATTATATAAGCTCGGCATAATCCCTAAAAAAAATAATACAACTTATTTTTTACCGATTTTACCAATATTATATAATTTATTTCCTATATAATTTTGTACATCCTATGTCTTACCTTAGTATCTTCAATGTCATATATTATAGTCAGTAATATAGGTCAAACTTCACTTACAGTATATATTGAGGTTAAGGTGAATCATCAATAAGCACCAAGTCACATAAATGTCATCACTTATATTAAATGTCACGAGTCTTGACATTACTGATATGACAAGAAGAAGAAAATAGTGATATCGGTATAAAAAAAAATGCTTGGCGATAACAGCGACTTGAAAATGATTTAATATCGGCTCCATAAAAGTTTCGATATCGGGTTGACTAAATTACCTAACATTGTCTTAATAGATTGATAGAACCTATGAAATCGAAACAAGAAGAAATACCTGAAAATACACTACAATATCGGGTAAATAAACACACAAGTGATATCGGCCTTTTACCCAATTTGCAATGAGTTAAAACGAGTGATATCGGGTTCATATATTTTGCGATATTAGCCGATTAAAAAAGAAGTGTCAAAACTGCTATATCACCTAATCAAACTACCTGACCCCGGGTTCATTAATTTACTTTGTCAACAGAATACGACTCATTATATTCACTAATTAAAATAAATCGTGTAATCAACATAAGTAAAAATGGGGATTTATTGACGAAATTAAACATAGGATATCAAGTAAATCCTTTGATGACGATGGTTTAACCCCTATGAGGATGATGGTTTAACCCTTTGAGGACGATGGTTTAATCCTTTAAAGATTATGATTTAATCTTTTGAGGACTATGGTTTAACCTTTTGAGGATGACGATTTAACCCGCTGAGGATGATGGATTAACTCTTTGAGGAAGATGTTTCAACCCTTTAAGGATGACGGTTTAACCGGTTTTAGGATGATGGTTTAACCCTTTGAGGATGATGGTTTAACCCTTTGAGGATGATGGTTTAACCCTTTGAAGACGATGGCTTAACCCTTTGAAGATAATAGGTTAACCCTTTGAAGATGATGGTTTAACCCTTTAAGGAAGATGTTTTAATCTTCTAATGATTATCGTTTGGCTAACCCTTTGAAGACAATAGCTAAACCCTTTACAAACGATAGCTTAACTCCTTAGGAGGAAGGTTTAATCCTTTGAGGGAGATGGTTTTAACTCTTTGAATACGATAGCTTAACTCTTTACACATGAGCGTTTAAACCTTTGAATACGATAGCTTAACCCTTTAGATACGATGTATTAACCATTTGAATACGAAATACGATAGCTTAACCCTTTACAAACTATGGTTTAACCCTTTCAATACGATAGCTTAACCCTTTACATACGATGGTTTAACCCTTTGAAGACGATGGCATGGTATCGTATAACGGGGACGAACGATTCATTACGATAATTCTCTGATTTTTACCATCTCTCCAGGAGACGTCTACGATAATGATGACTTATAGTGAGAAAAGAAGCGAAACAATATGGTTATCGACTCTGTGATAATTCAAGACATGATAATCGCGACACTTCAATATTTCAAGAACATCATATAATCGACACGATATATAATAATCTAAGGCATCATAATCGACTACCTAATAAGCAATGGTTAATATTAATCGACACTCCGATAATCAAACACATAATCGACACTGCAATAATTCAACACCATGATAATCGATAATAAACCAAAATGTAATAAAAAATAACCCAAAACACAATTATCAAAAGTATAATAATCAAAGAATATTATAATAAATCTCTGAATAATAATCGAACATAAAATAACAAGAGGTATATAATTTACAGGACGGTAAATAATTAATCCACAATAATCGGATATAGCGATAATTCTGATAAACAATACGATCTTATAATCAAGTTATAATCGGTGAATTAAATACAACTTAAACGTAAAACTAAACCCATAAAACTGACGAAAATTAACCAAATTAAACCAACAAATCCAAAAAATTATATCAAATTCAACAAAAAGTTAAAATACTGTTGCTGTTTTTTCACGACTTTTGTTAGGTTTAAATTATACTTTTGTTTTGGTATTTTACAGTATATATAATTTTTTTGGGTAATATGATTAATAAGAGAAATATTTATTATAGTTTGAGGTAATATATACAGGAGCTTATTTATTATTAGTATTGTTATATTATGTTTATGTTGGTTAAAAATGATAATGATGTTGTATTAATCATTTAACCTGTACACACACACACACACACACACACAAAGTTATCTGTGATTTTCTGTTACCAATCATAGAATAGTTTACAAAGTTTACAAAGTTTCATTCACTGTATTTACTTTGATTTCCCTCAGTTTCTCGCCCAAAAGATTAATTATTACAAAAAAAAAAAATACACATCGTAAATTAGTAATAAGAATCATTGTCCGGGGTCAACAGCACATAGTATCGACCTAAAATGCACCATCTGGTATAACACCTTGTTGCTCTGCTCTCCTTGTTTCCAGTACTGTTAAGTGTCTTTCACGCTGAGGTGTAAAAGTGTACTTATAAATAGTGTCTATGATGAAGGGGACGAGTGTTGTAAAGGTGTGTAAAGGTTAGACAATGAGAGAGAGAGAGAGAGAGAGATCTGGTCATATGTAAATAGGTCTGGGAATCGAGAGAGAGAGAGAGAGAGACATAATAATCTAGAAAACTGTATCGTCATCTAGAGGAATATCCAAATCTAGACTTTTTTTTTTAGGGATCTTCTATCATTAGAGAGATATTGTACAATCTTTTCTAGAGACACAAAATCAAGAGAGATTATCATTTTCTAGTGAAGTTAACTAAGTGTAAAGACATTTATTATAACAGAGTATATATCTGGTAACCCTATGTTTATAACTGTTTATATTAAAGACTAATAAATAATGACGTTTTAATATGTATAGTACAGCCACTCAAAAATTTTTCTATACAAAATTGTCTTGAAGAAATATGACACAATGGACGAAAGATTTTGACAACACTACCGAGACAACAAGAGTCACGGTGTTCATTCTGATATTCATCGATCACCCCAAGTACAGATAGTTTTTTGAGTGGCTATACTTGAATGTGTAAATTCTCGGGTTTTTTAGCGTTCTTCTTTATCCCCTTTCATTAATTATCGAATGTTAACTCACTGTAAAGTTAGGCATCAAAAAATATATTATATATATGAAAATAACATCTGTCCTATTAAAAAAAATATATACAATATTTTTATAAGCTTAGATGTAATGAACACATTTAGCAGATTATTATTATACTCTGCTTGCTGTTCCCAGTGATGAACTTATACTACACTGAACTTCGGCTCATTATGATAATATCTATGTGTATGAGAGTTTACAACGTGTGTGTGTGTGTGTGTGAGCCGAGTGTTTATCGTCGAAGCTTTTTTATAATCTGTCATATGCAATCAAACATCATCAGTAAAATATGTCTTTTAGTAACTTCAGTTCAAGTAGCGACCCATCAGGCCAACACGATAGAGTTGACCTCACAGTGTCGGCAGCATACAGTGTTCAAGAGTATACGGGCAGGGGTGTTGAGAGGGACAGATGTGAGGTACACTACACAGGTAACACAATACTGACTTTGGAACCTGCATGTGTAGAGATGTCACCTTCGAAAGTGCAAAAATGACCCTAGAACATTGTTTAAGGGTGAACTATGGCATGATACTTATGTTAGGGGATATAAACATCACCCTCACACCCACACAGGTTCCAGAAACAGCCTCGTGCCAACACTTAAACTCCTCAACTGATCTCTTGAGAGTCTGCATCAGGATTCTCAGAGGCTCGTACGCTATAATCCCCCCCTAATTTGATGTGAAAACTCATCTAACTGGTTCATTTCAGTTATGGCACAGGTAATGCACCCAAAATGACTTCTAAATTGCAATGAGTGACTGTACCATGACTACGTGTTCTCTTGTAGTGTCTAGTAAAGGCAACCACTGAGAGTCAGGATCCAGAGTTACGATTCTGTCAACGGCGGGAAGACGGAGTTGAAGGACGTCCGCTGGAGCTTATATTAATTTGTAGTCATCCCTGGTCGTGGGTGTTGTTGACTCACACCTAGGGAAGATTCACTGGATGTCCACTCTACTAGTCACAGCTGGCGATGATTCACAGCTGGTCTTAATTAAATGGTTATCCACTCCTTGTCACAGTTGGTGTTAATCCACTGGTTATCCACTCCTTGTCACAGCTGGTGTTAATCCACTGGTTATCCACTCCTAGTCACAGCTGGCGTTAATCCACTGGTTAGCCACTCCCAGTCACAGATGGTGTTAATCCACTGGTTATCCACTCCCAGTCACAGATGGTGTTAATCCACTGGTTATCCACTCCAAGTAACAGCTCGCGTTAATCCACTGGTTATCTACTCCTAGTAACAGCTGGTGATGATTCACAGCGGGTGGCATTTCCAGGGAGGGAGATAGTCACTGGTGGCTCCACACGCTGCTGGTGACATTCAGAGCCGAGACGTGTAACACAGTATGCTGCCGACACATAAAGCTGAGACTTACAATATCAGTGGAGGCCCGTGACGGCGGCATTCCTACCAAAGTTGCTGGTCGAGAGGGCCCCAGTCCTAAGAGGCCCCTGGTTAACTCTAGCCACTGGGACTGGGGTCCATTAGGGCTAAGCTCCAATCCTAATGGTTAGGTTTGGTTTAATTGGGGCCCAACCTGACCAGTCACTTGTGGTAATTTGTGAGGGAGGGGGACAACCCTTCCCTTATGACCCCCCTCCCCCCTGACTCTCCCTTCCCCCTATTCGCCATTAAGGGAGAAATAGATCTCCTGTCACCTGCCCCTCCCTTCCTCCCCACTTCACGTATTTCTCTACACCTTTCCTGCTCTCTCTTTCTCTCCCCTCACATCCCATCCCCCTATCCCTTCCTCTCTCTCTCTCCCTTTTTATCCATCTCACCCTCTCCTCCTTCATCCCCCTCTCCCAAATAAACACTCACAGGTCGCTTAGTCAAGAGGCTACATGTCAGCCATATTATTTGGTGCAGGACAAAGGGGTGAGGGTTCTAACAGGCCCCAGAGCCAATATAACCATACATTTAGAACTGGGATGTATTACAACTGGACCCCCACAATGCCAGTGGTTAGATTAAAGTGGGGCCTATTCGGTCAGGGGCCCAAGTGATCAATCATCATGTTATTTTTGTATCACATTCTTTCGTTGAATGTTAAAAAAAAGAGAATAAATAAGAACTCAATTGAATATATATGTAGTAGTACCTCACCGCAACACCACCACCGCTGCCACACTTGTTGGTGGTGTGGGCACGCGACACAACCACAGCTGCAGTGTATCAAATGTCAACCAACCTCACCGTGGTGTATTTACATTATTGTGTTTACATTCTCAGGCGGGAGTATACTGTGATACCCTGACAGCCACACGTTATATTTCCACCAATCAATAAATAAGAATATGAGAGTTGGATTAATAAACTTAGTTACTGTACATAATCGGATGGTGTAAGCTTACGACAGAGGATTCTGGGATGGTGTAAGCTTACGATAGAGGATCCTGGGATGGTGTAAGCTTACGACAGAGGATCCTGGGATGGTGTAAGCTTACGACAGAGGATTCTGGGATGGTGTAAGCTTACGACAGAGGATCCTGGGATGGTGTAAGCTTACGATAGAGGATTCTGGGATGGTGTAAGCTTACGATAGAGGATCCTGGGATGGTGTAAGCTTACGATAGAGGATCCTAAGCCTCCTTCTATTTCAGTTAAGATTTCTCTCTATTTTATACATGTTACATCGGCACTACACCCTTCTACTGCCCTGTCGTGGACTCAACACCCTGGTATTATCGTTGAGCTTTACCGAGTGTCATTGTTAATGTGGATGTGTTGTGTGCCAAGCTCACACCACCTGTCTCATGAATGTATTTAGTATTTATGTATTAATGTTTACACCTACACGCACACATTTATACAGACACACATACACACTTTCAAGTATACAGTACACGTACATATATATTCATACACAAATTCTCACAGAAGAGATATTGTGTACACACGCACACACACACACACCACGAGTCACGGAGTAGCAACCTACCGCCGCAGGGATCGAACCGCAACACAGTAAAAAAAAAAAAAAAAAAAAAAAAAAAAAAAAAAAAAAAAAAAAAAAAAAAAGAGAGAGAGAGAGAGAGACGGTGTTCCCGGCGGTGTGCACCACTGTGCCACTCACCGACGCACGGACGTACACGGCCAAGCCTGCAGGTGTGTGTAGAGAGCAGCAGTGTTCCATGTGCCAAGCTAGTCAGATTAATAAAGGTTATTCATTACACACCATCATTTTCATTATCCTGCATATTTTTCACTGCATAATGAGGTGAATTCATGCCATGACCCATTTTGTAGATGTATTTTGTAAAGGATTTTTCTTTTAGTTATTCAATATTCAAATGATAGTATTTTTACCTCAATCTGTTATAACCCAAACTATTTACACCTCCACCTGAACTTCCTATTCAACTAATTGTTTCATAAAAATACATTACCAAATATTTAATACAAGTTGCTAAAAAAATTAATAAAATGTTTACAAAACCTACACACCGATATTAAATTTTGATGCTTAATATCAAATGTTCACTGATGTTTATAAAAAAATGTAAAATAAAATATCACTAAAACACATGTAGGCCGCTGGTAACTTTTCAGTGGAGATAAAAGTTGAAAAAGTCTTCTCGGTGACCAGACAATATCACAACATACCACGTCTACCGTCACCCCACACTGTTGGTAGTAAGTTTAAGAGAATCCTTCACGAGAAAAAGGGAAAAGTTGATTTAAAGAGGTGAGCGACGAGAAGGAGAACGGACGGGAGGACGGAAAGACACACGGACGGGAAGATGAGCCGGAGGAGGGAAGAGAAGGAAACAGGACAAACAACCAAAACTTCCGACATATAAAAAAGTAACGTAGATAATAGCTAAGAAACACCATATATTAATTATAAACATAAACTAGTTCTCGAGCTTAAAAAACAGGGAAAACATACAAATTAAACTACCTACACACACACACAGGTTAGCAAAGCACTTTAAGAAAACTTTTTACCCTCAAGTGACACACTACACCTCTTCTCGCCTGTTTGAATATCATGAAATATATTTTGTTAAATTCACAGGAGAATGTAAACACCAGCGGAGGAGGCGAATGTGTGGAGGCGCGACTGACGTAAGAGAATGGGGTGTGTCTCCTTATATAGTGCTACTCCAACTACTGTTATAAAAAAAATTTTCCTTCATATTCCAGAAAGAATTTTTTTTTGGGGGGGGAGGGGGGTATTTATTTGTTATTCATACAAATATTCGTAGATACTTGGATCATTAAAGTGAAAGTGTCTGTATTCATGTTTGGGGATTATTATTATTTTTTGCTTTATTTTTTTAGGAAATGAAAATAAATCAACTAGAGTGTTTTAGTGTTTTCTCTTACATTATCTAAGTGTTTCTTGGGGAGTCTATCATCATGTGACACTCATTTGTCTCCTCTTCTCACTCATTCCCCTATGGTACCTCTCCCCCTCACCTACCTACACCAGAGGGAGGGAGAGAGGAATCTTCCCCCATAGTAACTCTCCTTCACCCCCCTCACCTACCTACACCAGAGGGAGGGAGAGAGGAATCTTCCCCCATAGTAACTCTCCTTCACCCCCCTCATGTACCTACACCAGAGGGAGGGAGAGAGGAATCTTCCCCCATAGTAACTCTCCTTTACCCCCCTCATCTACCTACACCAGAGGGAGGGAGAGAGGAATCTTCCCCCATAGTAACTCTCCTTCACCCCCCTCATGTACCTACACCAGAGGGAGGGAGAGAGGAATCTTCCCCCAGTAACTCTCCTTCACCCCCTCATCTACCTACACCAGAGGGAGGGAGAGAATCTTCCCCATAGTAACTCTCCTTTACCCCCCCTCATCTACCTACACCAGAGGGAGGGAGAGGAATCTTCCCCCCATAGTAACTCTCCTTACCCCCCTCATCTACCTACACCAGAGGAGAGAAATCTTCCCCATAGTAACTCTCCTTCACCCCCCCTCATCACCTACACCAGAGGAGAAATCTTCCCCCCCTCTCCTTCACAGTCTACTCTCCTTCACCCCCCTCATCTACCTACACCAGAGGGAGGGAGATCTTCCCCCAGTAACTCTCCTTCACCCCCTCATCTACCTACACCAGAGGGAGGGAGCAGGAATCTTCCCCATAGTAGCTCTCCTTCACCCCCCTCATCTACCTACACCAGAGGGAGGGAGAGAGGAATCTTCCCCCATAGTAACTCTCCTTCACCCCCCTCATCTACCTACACCAGAGGGAGGGAGAGAGGTAGAGAGATAGGGGGAGAGAGAGAAGGAGGGGAGAAGGTTACCACGGTATAAAAGCTCTCCCCCAGTCTGCCTAATCTGAACATGCCTTCCTAGCCTGATCCATTCCCCCTCACGCCCACATGCCACCTTTCCCTTATATACTCCCCCCCCCAACATTCTTTTTTTTACTTCCAGGATGCTGCTTGTTTTCCCTTTACTCTTACCCCTTTAATCTCTCTCTCTCTCTCACTATCTTTCTCTCACACTATTCTCTCTCATTCTCTCACTATCTTTCTCTCTCACCTAACATATTCCCCACACGTGTACCAACCCTGTAAAAAAAGGCGTTCCTCCCAACCTTCCCTGTGACCCCCATGTCCAACACCTCTCCTATATTCAATATTTATTCCTCGTCTAAGTCTGTCTTCCAACACTACCACCACGTCCTTCTGCCAACACCAAAACATTCTTCCACCACACCACTACTAACACCATAACAGTCTACCACCATACCAATACCAGAACAACAACAGTCTACAAACACCATCACACTACCAACACCATAACACTCTTCCACCACACCACTACCAGCACACCACCTACAGCAGTCTGCCAACACCACCACACCAGTCTATCACCACCACCACCAATACCACACCACCTACTACTACTACCACCACCACACCACTACATCACCACTTTACCAACACCATCACACCACTACCAACACCACCTACACCACTACCAACACCACCTACACCACTACCAACACCACCTACACCACTACCAACACCACCTACACCACCTACACCAGTCAGCCAACACCACAAACAAACCTTTAAACCATTTACTTCAACAACAGCCTAGGTTATATCTACTTCATCCCATGTCTCTCTCTCTCTCTCTCTCTCTCTCTCTCTCTCTCTCATGTACATTCACTAAGTCACACTCAACAATCCCGTATTTAAAGGCTCTCGATACCATAACAAAACGCCGTCCTTCCTTCCATCCATAATGTCTGTTCCATAATGTATGTCTGTTCCATAATGTATATCTGTTCCATAATGTATATCTGTTCCATAATGTCTGTCTGTTCCATAATGCCTGTCCCATAATGTCTGTTCCACAATGTCTGTTCCATAATGTCTGTTCCACAATGTCTGTTCCATAAGGTCAGTTCCATAATATCTGTCTGTTCCATAACGTCTGTTCCATAATATCTGTTCCATAATGTCTGTCTGTTCCATAATGGCTATCTGTTCCACAATGTCTGTCCGTTCCATAATCCCTCAGACATGACAAATCACCC